TTTACTATAAAGTTATTATATAAGACTTTTATAATAGAAAAAGGAAACAGCCAGAAAAAACAATTTTCTTTTTATATGCTAAATATAATTTTTAGGTCAAAATATATTCAGATTTAACATAAATTCAATTTTTATTTTTTCTAGTCATTTTCCCTTTTTCTATTGCAAAAGTCTCATATATTTATATATTTACTTTTAATTAGCAATATATTACTTTATAATTATTATACATATTCTTTATTATTACTTTACAACTGCTAAATTATTATTATATTTGCTATATATTTTTTATATTATACTATACTATTGTTATACATTAACATAATTATTACGTTAAGTTAGTTATATACCTACTACTTTTTATAATATATGGGGTTTCGTCAATAGAAACGTGGTATCTAGTAATTTTTACCAAAATGAATTAAGTATAATGCTATATAAAACAAACATTTTAGAACATATTTCAGTCTTTAAAATTATTATTTTGTATAGTATAATTTTTTTTATGCCTATTTTTCGCGATTTTACATGATTAGTAAACTAATTTAAAAATAGAATTTTAAGAATTCTCATAAATTAAGTTAACGATTTTTGAACTTCCTGTAAATTTACAATAATTAATATAAATAATAAAAAAATTTATTGTATACGAAAAAGTTATCTAAATAAGTATTATAAGATTGTGAAATTAAGTATTAATTTGAATCTATTTGAAATAGATAAACCTCTAAAATTCAATGATTTTATAGTATCTCTGTATTACTTAAACTGAATATGACTTATCTATTATTAAATAGCATTTTTTTTTAAAATCCATAAAGAGTTTCAAATATTACAACAAGATTTTTCTTGTTTTCAAATATATTTTATAACTATTAATAGCAATATTTCTGAATTAAATTTAGAAAATAATGATGAAATTTTAGATGAAGTAGAAGTGGAAAATAATGAATTTTTAGTTATTACAGAAACCCAATTACAAAAATATCAACAACTTTTTAAAAAAACTGAAATTATTAAAGACGATAACTTAGGTAATATTGAAATTCAACTCTTAAATAAAGAAATCAAATAAAATAATAAAGAATATTTCAAAAAAAATATAATTGAAACATCATGTTATTAAAATAATTGTCTAAAAGATAAAATTAATACTGAAAGAGCTTTTTTGAGAAATTTAAATTTTAAAAGTTTATCAAAAAGTAATCAAGATTCTTTTTTAATGAGTTATCTTGTCAGTAGTTTAAAATCATAACATGTAACAGTAAAAGGTAATAAAAGGGTTAAGGCAGTTTATGATTATTCTTTTGATACAAAAGAAATCTGTTTGAAAACTTTTAAATTTGTTTATAGGATCAGAATTATAAGATGGGAAAATATACAAATCCATTTCTCTATTGAAAATATCAAAGCTAGAATTTATAAAGCTATTAGAAAGCCTAGCAATAGAACAATTTCATTTTTAATAATTATAAAAATTGTTAGTTTTATATTAAGTTACGCTAACAGATAGGGTCTTTTATCACCAGATATATATTTTAACATTATATTATATTTTATTTACATTTTTACATATTTGATTTTTATCATAGAATAATATTTCAGACGTGAAATAATAGAAATTATTTTTTTACTTGTTATTGAAAGCTATTCATCTTTACATTAGAAGTATTTAATGGCAATTTAACAATACAAAAGCATTGAAAAATTAACTATTAGTTTAAGTATTTTTTGTTAAGTTTGGAAAAACTATTTACCCAAAATAAAGTTTTTAACTTCACAAAGTAACTTATGTTATTTATGTAAAACTATGTAATTTAATGCTAGTAATTGAACTGTAGAGAAGCGAGATCAAAAAGTAACTGAATGGAATATACATATTAAAGCCACATATGATGAACATGAATATTACAAGTAAGTTTATTATACATTTTAAAATATGTAATTAATTTTTAATTAACACTTTTAACTGATAAATTTAGAAAATGTATAAAAAGAGCCAAGTTTACTATTGAAAGACTTGGTAAAGAAAATATAATTTGCCCAGGAAAATTAATTCTTTAGATGTTGAAGTACATTTATCTTAGAACTTTGTTTAACAAGTTCAATTACCTTCTTCATCACAATAAGAGGTAAATTGTTTTAAATTTTTTTTTTTAGATTTAATTAAAAAAAACTAGTTATAAAATCAACATCTTATTAGAAAGATACATTTTTTAAGTCTCTTTACAAAGTTCATGTTTTTGAAATATGCAATGATGCATTTCCTT